GGGAGAAGGGCTGTAGGAAGACTTAGCCAGTGGTCTTTTCAACTCAGCACCCAAGGCTCTTGGGAGTGCCAATCTTGCCAGATACCTGAGTTGTATCCTTCGGACGCTCCGGGGGACAGGGTCCCCTGGAGCTCCACACCAGCCCCGATCAGAGCTACACTTGGGGTGGAGACGCCCACTTCAGGAAACCCTGCCCCAGTTCCCCACCACTGGGTAAGCCTGACCTTGGGGTTGGGTCTGGACTCAGATCCTGGGTTAGCAACTTACAAACTGTGGGACACAAGGCGAGGGTTACTCAGCCTCTCGGAGCCATTGAGGAAAGGCTTTTTAAATGGCGCATGACACTGTTTACCTGAACATTGAATACAGGCCTTTCACCGCCTTATCTTACTCAGGTGAATTAGAGATTAGAGGCAACGAGGGGGGAGGGATTTGAGGGCAAAGGGGCTTTTAAAATTTTGTTTCTGAGCATCTTAACTCTTACCCCGTAGGAAGAAAAGAAGGAAGAACACCATGACTGCTTGGGGCCGTGGCTGGGCCTCCATGTCCATGTGAACTTGAAGCCTGACTCACTTCACAGACACTCCTGGCTTCTGTGGCTTTGCTTCCTGCTTCTGGATCAAAATTTAGTTCGGCAAGCATTGGCCAAGGGCCGGCCAGGGGCCAGGCTCTGGAAGGTTCTGAGGGACACAGATGCGGCTCACATATGGGCCTGGGCTCAGTACGTGCCCACTCTACTGAGGGACACGTTTGGATGCTGTTATGACATGATGTGAGGACTATGGCGACTCAAGGGAGGGAAAGGCTAGTTTCAACTGATAGAAAGGAGAATTCCAGCGGGTGAACATGTCCACACCAACTTACAAGCTCCTTCAAGGGGAAAACTCCCCTTCCCACATCAGAGCTGCCGAGATGTGCTTGGGGCCTGTCGCTCTATGACAAACTCAGCTGACTCACTGACAAGTCCTGCAGCCCTCGGCTTCCTGGTGCCACCTGCACGTCTGTCCCAGAAACCTCTTCTTTGTGGCCAGGGCTTGTGAGACAGTCTGCAGCAATTCTTGCCTTTATTTAACAAACAAACAAACAAACAAACATACCGTGGCAGGAAATCTCATGAAAACAGCAAACACCTGCCTGCCTCTTTCTACCTGCTCGTCTTGCTCCCCTGTGCCCCCGGAGGACTGTAAGCGCCTTGAAGCCATGACTTCCTCCTGGAGAGCTGGAGTTTGGCCTGTGGCCTGGGCTCCTGGCACCTATTTTTTCCTAGGATTGTCTTTCTGGGAAGGAGGGTGGCCAAGCCAGCTGGGTTGAGCACGGGGCTTTGAAAAAGTGGGAGCTTGGGAACGGAGCATGGAGCGGCCCCCTGGCTGGGAGGAGTTGCCTCTGTTAGCTATTAGGGTGCAAGGGGTCAGTCACCTGGACTGCCCCCATTGTACTGGTTGCTGTGGGCTCCTATTGTTAAAAAAAAAAAAAAACCAACAAAAAACAAAAAAAACCCCAGCAAAGTGGAGGTTTGCTTAAGGAGCTTTTGTTCAGTGGGAAAAAGTCCTACCTTGGAACAGGAAAGGCATCAGCAGTGGTGGGGGAAAGGGTGGACTGTCTTCTTCACAAAGAGCCACCTGCTGGCTCTTCCCTGTAAGCACGGCTCCTGGAGCTGCCTCCCTGGGGGCAGAGCTCGCTTCTGGTTCTGGGCAGGGGGAAATGGCTCCTCAGCGCAAGGGAAATTCTCCTCTCCACCACAGTGTCCCAGGCGGCTGCCCACTTTGGTCTACCTCACTGTGGCTTTCAGGGACCTATAGGCCCTGCCTGTGGGCTTCCTGACCACCCCCTCCCTCATCCCAGTCCCACCAGCCCTGCTGCCCTCCTCAGGGCCTTTGCACTTCCTTCCCTAGGCTCCGAGTTCCTCTCTCCAGGATCTTCCCAGGCTGGCTCCTTCTCATGGCTCCTGTGTCAGCTCAAATAAGCGTCTCTCAAAAAGGTCCATCTGGACTCCTCCGTCTCAAGCAGTCCCCAAATCAAGGCATTCTGCACCACACTTCTTGGCTTCATTTTACTCATGTGCTGTTTCATGGCACCTAAAATGATCTCATTCAGGGCACCTGGGTGGCTCAGTGGGTTAAGCCGCTGCCTTCGGCTCAGGTCATGATCTCAGGGTCCTGGGATCGAGCCCCGCATCAGGAGCTCTGCTCAGCAGGGAGCCTGCTTCCCTCTCTCTCTCTCTCTCTGCCTGCCTCTCTGCCTACTTGTGATCTGTCCCTGTCAAATAAATAAATAAAATCTTAAAAAAAAAATGATCTCATTCATTCACCTCTTTTCACCCTTGTGTATCATCCGTGTTAGGTCTCAGAGAGCAAGGCCTTGTCTGTCTGTTGCATCTCTGTTTCTCTGGCATCAAAGACCGTACCTGGCTTGTGTTTGGTGTCCAGTAGGCATAGGTGGAAAAACACGGATAGAACTGAAAGCATAGAACCCGGAAAGGTAGACGCTTTGGAGCCCAGACTAGTCTGTCTGAGGCTGCGCTGGATTCCTCCTCATTCCCTTGAAAAGCCTATCGAAGGGCCTCTTTCTGTGTCTGGCACCCGTGTTCCTCTGGGACTGTATCTTCGTTGCCAGGAATTTGGTTCTTTCCACCTCCTGATGTTGCTCTGTCCCTTTCTTGGTTTAGTTTGTCCCCACATGCTTTAATGGCTCGAGCAAGAGCTGTGTGGATAGGGGAAGCCACCTTCCATCTTTGAGGAGCCAGCCACCGAGACTCCCCATGCCCAGCTTCCTCAAGGAGGCTCCCTCAGATTCCAGGGGGCACCTGCTCATTGGTCCAGACTCAGTCAAACGTGTTCCCTTATTCCTTGCTTTAGTTTCTTCGGTGTGTGTGTATGTGTTGTGTGTGTGTGTGTACAGCCCTGGGCGCTGTACCACCAGGGCTGTACACACACACACATACACACACACGCATGGAGTCTTTGTTCCCACTGACATCTAGAAAAAAGCAGCTTCAGCCATCGATTCAACACACTGTGAATGTCCAGTGACTTCTCCACATTCTTTGGGGGTTATTTTCTTGTAATCGCCTCTGGAACCCAATTCCTGCTTTCTTCTTTTGTGGCTTGGCTCTTTCTGTTTTTCTCTTCAGCACTGGACTCATCCTTGAAATGGAGCCCATCCTTGGGTTCTGCCAACACAAACAAAAACAAGCAAACAAACAGTTCCATTCATGCATGGGACATGGGATTCCTCCAGAGGAATATGGAGGGCCTGTGAGTGCAACAGGATGTAGCTGTCCGTGGGGAATCATGGTTGTGGGGTGCCTGGGTGGCACAGTTGACCATTGGTTCCAGCTCAAGTCATGATCTCAAGGTCTTGAGATCCAGCTTCCTGTTGGGCTCCCCATTTTCCTGGCCCCTCCTTCATCCACATTTCTTTTTCTCATGCTTTCCTTCTGGGTTTCTCCCCACTAATTCCAGTTCTTGGGATGAGTTGTGCAAGCCGTCCAATGCCACGCCAGCCTCTCTTCCCACATTCTACATATCCCAACCCGTCAAGGTGCTTGGCAAATCCTGACGGTTTCCTGTTTGCTCAGAGCCCTTCTCCTCAGAAGGCAACTGTGGTCTAAACATATCTTCCTCTTTGCAAGTGAGTTCTCCCAGCGAAGGCCAGTGGGAATCTGATGGCCTGGGTATCATCCAGAGAATGACCCCGAAAAGTACTCTTCAAGGGCTGGCTCGTTGCCTACTTCCTGATTGATTCTGAGATGCTAACTGGCTCGAGGATGCTGAGGAGGGGCTGAAACCCAACTGCTGAAGTTTCTAGAACAGCTTTATCTCCACAGGCCAGCCGGGAGTCCCTGAGACCCGTTTACCCTTTTCCTGGGAGTGCTCCCCACCCCCCCCACCTAGGGTGAACCAGGAGTTTTCATGAGCTTTTCTCAGCCCGGGACTTAATACAAAGAAACACGAAAGAATCTTTCCACTTTTCATCCCAGCAGAGGCCAAGCTGGGCGGGAGGCAGAGGGCTCCTTGTTTCTCGAGAGGACCGCTCTGTGCAGCGAGCCCAGGAATGAAAAGGGGATCAGAGAGGCATAGAATGTGTGAGCTCGGTGGCTTTTGGAAAACCTGCAGAGACGCACCCCCTTCTCTGTAGCTGTGGGACTCCAAGTCCAGAGCAGTGAAGCCATGAGCTCCCTCAGGGTCACACATTAAGGCTGCGTGATTTATAGTCCACCGTTCAGTTTGAGGAGGAAGCAGGAGTCCCCTTGGGTGGCCCTGGCTCTTGGACAAGCCCACTTAAGGGTTGTCGAGGCTGCTGGAGGGAACTCGCAGCTCTTCGAAGCAAGGAAAAATGAGTCAATGGCTCGTTCTTTTGAGCTGTCGAACTTGAAACGTCTCAGCAGTGTTTCAGTACTTGAGATGGTAGGCGCTTTTGGTGAGGAAGGTGTCAGGAAGGATCCAGAAGATGGCGATTAGGTTCTTTGAGCCATCTGTGGGGAGGAGGAGGACAAGGGCAGGAGGTGGGTTCCTCCCCCGTGGTGAGATGGAGATGCGTAGATGGGTCAATCCACTGTCCTCTCCTTCCCGCCTGGACTGCTGTGCCAATGGCATCCAGTTGACTTTTTCTTCCATGGAATGGCTCCTGGGTCAATGGGAATTGGAGGAAACAATTGGTGCATAAGATTGTGACAGAGACCGTCATGGCCAGTTTAATTCTGCTCAACAAGTAGTTCTCAGGCACCCAGGGGGCGTTGCGTGCAAAGCCAGGTGTGTTGTGGGGAACAGGAGAAAGTGTTTCCAGTCCTGTTATACCCAGCACCAGACAATCTTACATGGAAGCTGAGACCCATCTCGGTGGTGAAGGACAGAGCATGAGACTGATGAGCTCCACTGCCACCTGTCACGGTGCAGACAATATGTGTTCTGGAAAGGCATGAGGAAAAGGGGTCAGGGGAAGGGACCACGAGGCAGTGGAATCTCAGCTCAAGTGAAAGTGTGTGCATCCCCTCCCCTGAGGCTCTGCCACAGCAGGTGCTCCACAGAGACCTCAGTGACAGAGGGAGAGGAGGGCAGACGGAACAGTGGAGCGGATGCGGAGGAGAGCAGACGCCCACAAGAACCAGCCCGACCTGGAATAGCAGAGAAGGTTTGTGGCTGACCTGCTGGCAGGGCGGGAGGGCTGGACTGTCTCTAGGCAGAGTTTGGACTTGCTCTGAGGTTCAGGGAACCACAGGAGAGGCAAGGGGTGGTGCTGTTTTCTTGTTTTAATGGAAGTGTAGTTGACACACGTTACGTTAGTTTCAGGTGGATGAGATAGGGATTGGACAGCTCTGCATTATGCTGTGTTTGCCCCAAGTGCAGCTGCCATCCGTCACCAAACAACGATTCTAATTCCATCAGCTTTACTCCCTGTGCTGCACCTTTTATCCCCATGACTTACTCATTCCATAACTGGAAGCCTGTACCTCCTGTTTCCCTTCCTCCATTTTACATCTCCCCCCACCCCCTCTGGCCACCTTCAGTTTGTTTATGGGTCTGTTTTTGCTTTTTCTGTTCATCCACTTTTTTTTTTCAGATTTCACATATGAGTGATATCATGCGGTTTTCCTCTTTCTCTGACTTGTTTCCATTAGCATCACACTCAAGGTCAATCCATGGTATTGCAAATGGCAAGAGCTCATTCTTTTTAATGGTTGAGTAATATTCCATTGTCTGTCTGTCTGTCTATCTCTCTATCTATGTCTGTATATCACATCTTCTTTATCCATTCACCTGTTGATGGTCACTTGGGCCACTTCCATATTGACTATTGTAATTAATGTTCCATTAAACACAGGGGTGCACATATCCTTTCAAATTAGTGTTTTTATTTTCTTTGGGGTAAATGCCCAGTAGTGCAATTGCTGAGTCATAGGGTAATTCTATTTTTACCTTTTTGAAGACCCTCCATACTCTTTTCCAAGTGGCTGCCCCAGTTGGCATTCCCACCAACAGTACATGAAGGCTCCTTCTTCTCCACATTTTTGCCAACACTTGTTATTTCTTGGCTTTTTGAACCTTCTGACAGGTGCAAGGTGATAGCTCATTGTGGTTTTGATTTGCATTTCCCTGATGATGAGTGATGTTGAGCATCTTTTCATGTGTCTGTTGGCCACCTGGGTGTCTCCTTTGGGGAAATGTCCATTCAGATCCTCTCAGGGGACGATGGTCTGGACAGCCTGCTGGCCTGTAGGTTAGGGAGATGTGGTGCTAGACTGGGCTCTGCCTTTTTGATCTCTTTGCCTCAGCTTTGTGACAAGCCAGATGCAAGGTTGTACTGTGAATTCTCTACATTCTAGAGGATACACCTTAGGGCAGCGTGCAGGGTGAGAACTTGGAAGAAGAGAACTCTTTGGTTTCAGGAAGTCAGGCCTGAGGACCTGGAACCAGGCTGGTGGTTAAAGGGAACATCAGGAAGATAAGTTTTCTAGAGATTTGGAAGTGGCTCTCAGAACGCTTCTGGGATACACTCTGTGGAGACGGAGGAAATGTAGGAAAAAAAATGTCTTGGGGGCTGCTATTTGTAGCATTAGATGACTAGGAGATCTTGGAAGGACCCAAAAATATAGGATTAGAGGTTGGGTGGGCAAAGCAGGGTTGGAAAAAGAGGGGCCTTGGTGTCAGACAAGGGGTGGTTTTGAATCCCACCTCTAAGATCGACCAGCTGTGTGACTACGGTAGGTGACCAATTCTTCTGGTTTGCCTGGGACTTTTCCAGTTTCAGCCCTGAAAATCCCATGTCCTGGGAAACTTCCCAGTCCCAAGTGAACTGGGACAGACTGGTAGGAAAGCTGCAAGTCACATGTCCTGGGAAGTCCCTCGGGATGGTGGAATCTACTCGACCAAGGTTAGCCTCAGATTCCTTGTCCGCAAGGTGGGGAGAACAACGGCGCCTTCTTCTGAGCGTCGCATGGAGGAAGCGAGAAAGTACGTGTAAAGTACTCGGCCGAAGGATTGGCGCAAAAAGGTGATAAAACAAATATTTGTTGAAAAGGATGAGTTCAGGGAATCCAGCCAATGAAGCAGCGGGAGGCAGAGGGGATGGGTAAAATAACCTGGGGTGGCCATGGGCATTTGCAGACCTAGGCTGCTTTGTGTGCAGAACCTGTGGGTTGGGATTCTACCTGTATTTGTAAAAGAGGGTCTGCCAGAAAATTCGCACTGTAAACAAGGGAAATGTTAGTCCACCGGAGAGGGCAAACCGTAGCAGTAGCATTTACCTTTCGGTAAATGTAATTGTAAGTGAAGGTGTTCCTTCACAAGAGGGTTCCTGAGGCTCCCGAAAGACATGCATCCTTGCTCTCTGGCCCAGTTGGCACTGTAGCTGTGGGTGCACAGGAAATAAAACCACATTTTCTTCAGTATTCATCCATTCATTTATTCCATTGTTCAGCAAGTATTTATTTAGTATTTTTCATGTCTTGGGCTCAAAGCCAGGCTCTATGGAAACTACAAAGAGATATGAGAAGTAGCCTGTGTTCTTACAAAATTTACAATCAAACTGTTCTATCATTATGCTTCTTTCCCTTGTTTAAGCTTGAACTGTAATTCCTTCTTTCTTCTTCTTCCCCCACCAGCATCAGGGCCTTCTGACAGGCATGTATATGATTTTTAAATTTTTTTAAAAGATTTTTAAAAAAATTTATTTATTTGACAGAGATCACAAGGAGGCAGAGAAGCAGGCAGAGAGAGGAGGAAGCAGGCTCCCTGCTGAGCAGAGAGCCCAATGTGGGCTCGATCCCAGGACCTTGAGATCATGACCTGAGCCAAAGGCAGAGTCTTAACCCACTGAACCATCCAGGCGCCCCAGGCATGTATATGATTTTACACTGCCTCTGAAGTCCTAGAATCCAGAAAAAGAGAAATCGGAAATTCTTTATTAGGACATCTTGAAGAGATGGGCTGGGGACAAGAAAAGTAGATTCGAGGAGCAGGAGAGAAGTTGCGGGAACTGAGAGGAAGGGGAGCAGGGGGGAAAAAGCAGGGGGAAGGGAGCAAGGGGGAGGGAGAGTGGGGAAGGATGAGGAGGGGGAAGGGAGCAGGGAGGACTAGGTGGGAGGGAGAGCAGAGAAGAGAGCAGTAATGACTGGGAGGAAGGAGGAGGGAGAGCAGAGGAGAGCAGAACAGAGGGGAGGATGAGCAGAGGAAAGAGGAGCAGAGGGGAGAGAAAGCAGGGGGAGGAGGGGGGTAGAGAGAACAGGGGGGAGAGGAAGTGGGGGAGGGGGAGAGGCAGGGAGAGCAGAGGGGAGGAAGAGTAGAGGGGAAGGGTTGGAGGGGAAAGGAGGAAGCAGGGGGTAGGGAAACAGCAGGGAGCGGTCCTCAGGGCTGGAGTGCAGGGTTTGCAGAGGGGAAGCAGGATAAGCAGCAGGAAGACAAGGTCGGAAAGAAGGAAGGAGGGCAGGCTGGGGGAGCAGGTGGGAAGGAGAACGCGAGGTTAGAACCTATGAGCTCAGGAGGAGGCTTAGGGGTTGTGCTCGCTTAGCTAACCCCCTCAAGCACCCCCCCAACTGAACAACATGTTGAAATTACACACGTGAGGGTTTTTTGTTTTGTTTTGTTTTGTTTTAATCATGATTTTTTTTCTTTAACCACAACTGAGAGGAAACCAGAGTATAGACCAGAGCAAGGTGACTAGGGTGGGGTCCACAGCCCCTGGGGCCAGGTCTGCCTGGGCTCCCCTCAGCCAGGGCTGTATCTCCTTCTCCCGGGGTCACTAGCTGTAGCCCGGGCAGGGCAGGAGCAAGACACAGCTGTCCCCACCTGCAGCCCTGGCTCCCTCCTGACAGAGGCCACCCCCTCCGGGGGAGGCAGCTCCTCTGAGCTTTGCAGGCCACGGCTTCCCCAAACTGCTTCCTCCTCAGAACCGCTCTGGTGCAACCCTGACCCTCCCTTCCTCCCTGATCACCTGGAGAGGCAAAGCAGGGTCAGGCAAGAGCACTCGTGTCCTCCCCCAGCCTTCCGTTTCTCTTCAGAACTCCTTCTCCCTGTCTCTTCTCCTGGGTTCTAGATCCCTGAAGCTTGCCTCAGGCAGGAGATTTGGGACCAGAAGGCCTAACACACCCTGGGTCCGAGAGTCCAAGGAGGAAAAGTCGTGGTAAATAATCAGTTCCCTTTGCCTTGGACAAGGACCAGGATGGAAGGGCCTGCAGAGCGTAACTGTTAGCCAAGAGCTGCAGACCAAAAGGTTGAAACATTCCGTGATCCCAGCCAAGTGGTCAGATGGCTGGCTGCCTCAGTCAGCAAAACACCAAGGCTGGGTCTGGCCAGCCCAAGACTGGGTCGCCATTTTGGTGCATCTTGGCACCCCCACGCTGGTTTATCTCTTGGATTATGGTGTCAAGGGGCAACACCGTTGTGGACAGTGAGCTTGAAAGGAAGCCATGCTATTACATACCATTTTGAGGAGTTAAAAGAAAAAAAAAATATATGTATACACACACACACATATATATATATATATATACCCAATCTGTTTGAAAGATGCTAAGCTAGCAAGTACAATTATTCCGGCAATTCTTTTCTGAACTTGGCTCTGCTCTACATCTCAGACCCCTTGCAATTCAGGTTCTCATGTTCCCGTGCCTCATTTTTGCTATGCATCACGAGACCCCCGGGATGGTTTTGGGTGTGACTCAAGTGACTGGACAGTCTGTCTTCGGATCGAACTCACGTAGATGGCATCTGCCCAGTGTTTCCAGAGGCTCAGGGAGAGCTGGGAGATGATTACAGTCAATTATGCTTTGTACATCATGTAATGGTTTGCAAGCACCTTCCCCACGCAGTAGTTCACCGAAGCCTGGAACAGCTCTGCCAGATGGATGGACTGACTAACCCCAAGTCTTAGGGCTAGCAGCAGATCCAGATTTCCTGTCCTAAATCATATGCTTTCCCATTAAACCCATTGCCTGTCAAGAATGCAAAAATAATCATGAATATGGACCAAGTTTTTGCTGGTTACCAGACACCACGTGAAATACGCTACCACGCATCACCTCATTTACTTTTTCCAACAGGTACACGGAGGACATATGATAGTCC